CTCCACGCCCTCCCTCCACAAGACTCTTCATCGACAGATCCACACATTATAAAGCTTCTCGACGCCTACGGCAACGTGTTCGAAGCCCCACACGGAGTTGTACAGGACCGGCACATACGACATGAGATTATTCTTGAGCCCGGTGTCGTACCTCCGTGCGATTGCATCTACCGCATGAGCGAGGAAGAACTAAGTGTGCTCCGAGCACAACTCGACGATCTTCTTGCGAAAGGTTGGATATGACCAACCTCTTCGGCATACGGTGCTCCCATTCTCTTCGTCCAGAAGAAGAACAAAGACTTACGATTATGCATTGACTACCCGAAGCTCAATGCACAAACCATGAAGAATGTTGGGCCCCTCCCGCGAATCGATGATCTCCTCGAATGGTAGGGCGGTGTCAAGTTCTTCTCCAAGCTAGACCTCAAATCAGGGTATCACCAAATTGAGATCCGACAAGGAGAACGTTACAAAACTGCGTTGAAGACGCATTATGGGCATCTCGAATGGATGGTCATGCCTGTCGGCCTTACGAATGCCCCAGCCACATTCTAGGCGACCATGACGACGGAGTTCCGCAATCTGTTGGACCGGTCCGTGCTCATCTACCTCGACGACATCTTGGTGTATAGCCGAACCTTATATGAGCATGCGGAGCACCTACGCACCTAATTGGAGCAGCTAAGACAAGCCAAGTACAAGGCTAGCCACAACAAATGTGGATTCACGTGGCAAGAACTCGATTACTTAGGCCACTATCTGACTCCGCAAGGCATCCATCCGCTCACGGACAAGATTGAGGCCATTCGTGTATGGCTTGAGCCCACCAACACCACGGATACTCGATCGTTCAGGGGATTGGCCGGCTATTATTAACGCTTCATCACCGGCTATTCAAGAATTGCGGCACCATTGACACGATTACAATCGCCAAAGGTGCCCTTCAAACTGAACGACGAAGCGTGCCATGCTTTCCAAGCACTCGAGACGGCCATGATCATGGCACCCGTCCTAAGCATCTACGATCCCACGTTGCCGATGAGAGTGACAACCGACACTTCCAATTATGGCATTGGAGGCATCTTGGAACAACACAACGGCGAGGATTGGCACCCCGTGGAGTACTTCAGCCACAAGGTGCCCTCCATCAACACACTTGATGATGCAAGGAAGAAAGAACTGCTCGTGTTCGTGATGGCTCTCAAACAATGGTGGCACTTCCTCCTTGGGCGTCGTAGGTTCACATGGGTTACGGACAACAACCCGTTGACTTACTATAAGACGCAAGACATGTCGAGCAGCACTATTGGACGATGGATGTACTTCATTGACCAGTTTGACTTCACATCGAGACCCCTTTTCAGGCCTCTCCAGTCTCGCAGCCGATGCACTCTCACGAAGACCTGATCTTTGCGCCATGACACACCATACCTTCGCGTTCAGCGAGGACCTCCAGTGGCACTTAATCCGAGGCTACAAGTCCGACCCTGAGTGCGCGCCACTCTACGAGCAGCTCTCTTCGGATAACCCACCGACGAGCCACTATCGCATCGCAGATGGCTACTTGATCCTTCACACTCGAGGCAAGGACCAACTATGTGTGCCTCAAGATTGTCGGCTTCAGACTCACCTTCTCGGCGAGTACCACGACTCGTGCCTCGCCGGTCACCTTGGAGAAAATCGCACGATCTCTCGAATGCAGTCCAAGTTTCGATGGTCGGGCTTCGAGACTGACGTTCTCAAGTATTGCGAGTCATGCGAAGTTTGTTGACGAAACAAACGTCGCAATCGCAAGTCGTACGCCGAGTTACGACCTTTGCCCATTCCGCGCGAACCCGACGTCTCCATTGCTATTGACATCACAGGCCCCTTTCGGTCTCGACGACATTCTCACAGTCGTTGATCAGTAGTAAATACGCTTGATTCCTCCCATGCAAATACCATGCTAACGCTCCCGAGCTTGCACGGACCTTGCACGTTGGCTGGATTTGTGGCCACGGTGTCTCGGAGGACATCGTTAGCGTCAGTGACACTCGGTTCATGTCGGACTTTTGGACTGCTCTCATGAAGGAGTCTGGAACCACCATGAAACCAAGTTTCGCTTGGCATCCACAAACAGACGGGTAAACGGAGAGGGCACATCAAACCGCCAAAATGATGCTCCGCACACTCATCCGACCGGATCAAAAGGACTGGGTAGACTGTCTTTTCGACATCAAGTTCGCCTACAACACGTCATTGCATCCGACGAGCATCGTCACTCCATTTGAGCTTCACCATGAAGGTCGGAAAGGATGGATTTTCGCTGACCTTCTTCTTTCGCAGGCCGCCGACATCGACACCCCTTGCACACCCGCCTCCATTCGGAAGAGGCGGGAGCTGTTGGCCAAAGTCCGCGCAACCATGCAAAAGGCTCAGGTCCGCATGCAGCAGCAAGTGAACCGACGTCGTGTGCCTTGTCCCATCCGTGAATGGGACCTGGTCTGGGTCTCCTCCGAGGAGTTTGTGATGTCTCTCGCAAGCTCCTCCCTAGATGGTTTGGGGCTTGGCTCGTTCAGTCTGCAGCTGACGATCAGCCCATCGGTTTCCGCCATCCTATATTTCACGCTTCGAAGCTAGCCACGTATACGTCGACTAAGAGCAACGACTTTTCGGAGCGACGACCGCAAGACCCTCCTTCAATGGATGGCCACCAAGAGGTTGAGCGGGTCATCACACACCGCCACTACGACAACAAGCCGGCGCAGTACAAAGTCAGATTCCAACAATGTGACCGTGAAAACACACGGTAGATTTCCCGGGATGCTTTGAAGAGTTCCTGTTACATGCTGCGCCTGCAACAGGCTGCACGGGCCCCCTTTCAGGCCCGTGACGTTTTCAAGCCAAAAGCCTGAAAACAAGGGCCTACAGGCCCTGTGTCGTTTCAGCCTGAAAGCCTGAAAACAAGGGCCTACAAGTGTGTCGTTTCAGGCTAAATCAAAGGCTTTTCGGCCCTGAGTATTTTCAGCCTGAAACTGAGGGCCATTTTCAAGCCCTCATCCGTCCGACCCGCCCTGAAACTCGGGCAACAAACCAGGGTTTTAGCACAGGCCATTTCAAGCCTGTTTTCTAGACAACCCCTGGTTGAGCTTCAACTCCAGGGTCTGGCACATTTCGGCATTGGCAAGAGCAGCCTCCTGGACGGGCCAACACTATATAGGACGAGCCCGCCCTGCAGGCCGGTAGGTAGTTCCTAGGTACTTCCCAGGCACTTCACGTGCAGTTCAGGAGGCAGGAGGTAGTCTTCAGGATTCGGCAGCAGCACTCTGGAGGAGCGCTGCTAGAGTAGCTGTAGCGGTGGCAGTAGTCTTCAGCGTTGGGCGTTAGTAGCGTTAGCAGTAGTCTTCAACGTTGGGCGCCATAGGAGCTAGAGTAGTACTAGAAAGAGAGAGATGGGGCAGAGGCCAGGGATACTTACCTGCAGCGCCATAGCTCCAGCTTCGCCCTCGAGGTACCTGCAGCACAACACCATCTTCACAGGTTAGTACCTGGCATATGAGAGAGAGAGTTCTTATTCTCCCTCTTCTCAGTCCACCATCTCCCTCTTACCCTCTCGCTACCTGACTTCACTCCATCAGCAGACTATGAGAGAAAGAGAGAGCTTGGTGACCGTTGGATCTAGACTCGACATTTGGGCTTCATACATTTTGACGTGGGATTATTTGGGACTTGTAACGAAGACTTGGTGTTGACGACATTCCCATCTCCCCCCCTCTTCTTCGTTTGTTCCCCTCCTCTTTGTCTGTGCATGATCTGGGCCTGGCACCTTCTTCCTGTGTATAGCGCCAGGTCCATTCACACCTTGTGATGAGGATGATGAATGTTTGGTCTGCGTTGCAACATTGATTGGGCTAGTCATTGGTATTCTAGCATTCTGCTGCGATGTCTTACACTACGTAATAGAGGTCAGTCCCGATCAGGTCAGGACTTCAAGTTGTATCTAAGTCTTCCACTGCGCTATAAAGCACCACCATTTTGTATGTATCAGAATGTACACTGCTTGTTGAGATTTCACTTGCACTGCATTGTCCATTCAGTCCTGTTTTATCACATTGCGGATCCTCGGTTTATTATGTACATCGCCCAAATGGGCATGTATCAGTTGGTATGGGAACACCGCACGTGAATCATGACAACCTTATATGACACGTGTGCGGGGACTAGGTAGCTGATTAGTCTTGATTGATTGATTAGAGCACACTAGTTAGCCCCCAAAATCGAAATTTTTACCTCACTGCCGAAAATCTTTTTTTTTTTTTTTTTTGGATTTTGTTTTCTTGCTATTTCTATTGTGGAAAATCTCAGTAGCACAACATCTGAAATTTCTGTTTTCTTTTTTTCAAAAATTTGAAATTTCTTTTGCAATTTCCCGTATTTGGAGGGTCGGAATTTTTTTTTCAAAACCCGTTTTTTTTCAAAGCGGTATGGGAAATCCCTCTTGCAATACCATTTTCCAAACTGCGAATACTCTCATCTGAGTAAGTCCGAATACTGGGTATTTCTTTTTCTTATTCGCAGTTCTAGGATTTTCCTACCTAATAATCATTGGCAGTCTGAAAGTTCGAAGTTTTTTTCTCATTGATAATTTCGCATTTCAAGGGAGGTTGGGAGACCTACTGAACTTGCAAAACTCGGGATTTTTACTTTCTCGAATTTTTTTTTGCAGAAGTTGAAACTTTTCTTGTTTTTCATTAGTGGCTCCTTATCTAGGCGATTTATCCCCACCCACCCCTCCCCACCTACGTTGTTGCCCCCTCTGATCTTACCTTCTTTATTTGTCTCTAGGCAACCACTGCGGCGACATTGGTGAGTTGCCACGTCAGCAGGCCACGTCAGCAGGCCATGTCAGCAGACCACGTCAGCAGCCACGTCAGCAGCAGGGAGTGCCACGCCAGCAGGCCCCAGCCTGGTCTATGCTTACGCGCTCGAAAACAGTCGTCATGGACCAGATGTCCGGGCAAACGGACAAGGCCTATCAGGCCCGGATGCTGCTTCTGATTACCGAAGCCAAGCAACGGTTGGATGCAGTAGCAGCCGCAACAAAGGCAGAGGATGCCGAGAAGGCACGTCTGCTGGCAATTGAACAGCAGCGCCAGCAAGACGAGGCAGCAACAAAGGCTGCCGATGAAGAACGATGTCAACGACGCGAGAAGATATTCAGTGGAGAGCGAGCTTTCGGACTGGCGGGCTGAGGCTGAGAATAGGAAACTGGAAGAGAGTGGAAACAAGATCGCTCTACTCCTCTCCCATCTCAAGGACCTCCTGGCCACGTACATTGCACAGCAGGAGGACATTCACAACCTCGACGACGCGGTTCAGACACACAATCAGGTGTTTGACCAACTCACCAACCGCCTCCAGCAGTTGGAACAAACCGTCACCACCTCCGATCGCCTCGAGGCATTGGAGATTGACGTCGGATCCCTCAAGGACGGCGTGCAGTTACAGCAAACCGCAACGCAACAGTTGGAGCAGCGGATCTGTACTGCCGCCAACCACTCGAGCTCGGAACCGCGCGAGACAACTCCAAAGTTCGATGGGCAGGAGATCTTCTGCGACTCGACGAAGACGGACCCGTTCCATGGTTCCGCAAGCTCGAGCTCGAGTTGCAGCTCCACCACGTCAGCGAACACAAGCACCACGCGTACTTATACTCCCGGTCCGGGAGCGCGTGCCAAGCATGGTTGGACAATCTTTTGTCCAAGTACGGAGTGGTGGCTACCGACTTGCATACCAAAATCAGTTGGGATGATCTAAAGGCGGCGTGGCATAAGCGGTTCCAAGTAGAGCCGCCGGAGATCAAGGCAATGGACAAGCTGATGATCTTCGAACAAGGCACGCTGCCGAGTGTTGATTGGATTGCCGAGAGTACCAACGCTTGACATCCGTCCCAGACATCCAAATGGGCTTCAAAGCCATCAAACACTACTTCATCTCGAGATTGTGTCCGGCGTTGGGCAATGCATTGACTCACGTCGAGGACACCCTGATAACACTGGCAGAACTCTTCGACAAGGCCGCGCAGATTATTGTCACGAACAAGGAGGCCAAGAATCTCCAGCGTTCGTCTGCACCAGGCCTGAGCAGAGATCAGCATCGGCCGAAAGTGGTCGTGGTCGAGGCGGCAACGCCAAACGACCAAACTAGCGAGGCCGTGTCTGCCAATGAAGGGGACAGACTTGCAGCTTCTCGGGAAGGTGGCCACCCCGGCAAAGACAGAGGACGCGGCAAGCCGAAGACAAACACCGCATCTAGCCCCGGGCCCGGCGCAGCAGCTCCAACCCTATGGTCCCATTACGGTCTCTCTGAGCAAGCATACAAGGCTCGCACGAGATTCCACTATTGTTTGTGGTGTAACAACGATCTCCACGACACAATGGTCTGCCAATCGAAAGGCAAGAGAGATTAAACTCAAAAACAATGTAGTGGAGGTTTTAGTATCACAGAAAAACTACATCGTGAGTGCACAAAATTGGTCCGTGCAACAGCGTGCACGAGACTGGTATGCACAGCAGACCTTCTACCTCAATCTGCTCTCTGCTTCAAAGCACCTGCTCCATACTCTTAAATATCCGCTCGCGACTCATCTACTCCGTGAGGATCACGTTTCTTTGAGTCGAAAAGAAAGAAACGAAAAAAAAAAAAAAAGTAAATACGTAGATAATAAATAAATCCACATTGAGTCAAAATCAAGCCAAATCCATAACTCGCGGCGACCTGGATACTCTGTGATTTCACACGTTTCTCCGAGTCCCGAGTTCGTCTTCCCGAGTACACCATCCTCTTTTTCTCAGTCGTGAATGTGCCAGCTTGACGGTGTGCGCTTGCTTCGTGCTGCATTTGTCCTTGTGTGTAGCGCCAATGTTTGTCTCACTCCTCAGTCTTGGATCTGCTTCACGTTGTCGGGACTGGTGGGTCCCGAATAACTTCCCATCACTCGAGAGATTGAATACGGACAGCAGGAGAGAGAAAAGACAAAGGATTAGGCCGCAGAAGGGAGTGATGCCCTGAGGAGAGAACCACAGGAGGAAAGAACTAGCGACGGCAAGCAAGCGAGCATAAGAGCAGGGGCACATAGAACGTAGCATGAGGCCGGGAGGGCCGTTGGAATGCAATAAGACTAAGGCCAAAGGGGCCCTTGAACCAGCAAACGAAGCACGACAGTGATAAAGGAATAAGGGAGTCGAGGGACGAGCAGCCCAGAGGCCACAGGTAGATAGAGAACATGGGGTCGACATGGGGGCCACCTACGGGAGACTCGGGGTAGAGGCCGCGACCAAAGGAACCAGCAAGCGCTAGCCGCCAGAGAAGACAAGGGAGAGGGGTCACCATGGGGCGGCCAAACGCCCAAGGGACGTGGGACACCTCGGGGAAAGGCACCTGGGGCCACGTGGGACTAAGTAAAAATAATGGCAACCGGGGCGAAATGTGTCGGGGACCACCCGCGGGACTAAGTGTCGGGGACCACCCGCGGGACTAAGTGTCGGGGACCACCCGCGGGACTAAGTGTCGGGGACCACCCGCGGGACTAAGTGTCGGGGACCACCGATGGGACAAGTGGCGGGGACATGTGAAAGTCCCAAAAGGAAACGGCGGCACCACATGAAGGAAAATAAGAAAAGCAAGGTGCACAGTCGAGATCAAGATTTTGACGGCCAAGAATATTAACACCGCTAGTGCTAGCAAACGGGAAGGCCGAAAAGAAAAGAAAAAGTAAAGAAACTTGAGGTGGGAGGCATGGGAGCAATCTGAAAAATCTCGGATCAGCCTCCCTCAAGAAAATGGAGTCAAAAGAGACTCCATGTGAAAAATAGCCCTCCGGGAGAAAATCGGAGTAGGAGGGGCCACTATAGGAAAAGAATAGGAGTAAAGGGAAGCTCCCATGGGCATGGGAAGGGCATTATTACAGTCCGAGATATAACGGACTGCACTATGGGCATAGGAAGGGCCAAAACTAAGAGGAAGAGGCTAGAAAAGGGCCTTCACGACCACTTGACACTTGGCATGCTAGAAAAAACAGAGAAAAGAAAAGAAAATGTGGGAGAATAAAACAAAAAGAGAGAGAGGGAGGGAGTGAGTTGGCCGTCAGTAGGGACTGCCACAAGTAGGGACTAGGAGGAAAAAGAAAAGAAAAGAAAAAGGAAAAGAAAAGAAAAGAGAAAAAGGCCTTAACGGTAAAAAAAGACTCCATGTGAAAAATAGCCCTCCGGGAGAAAATCGAAGTAGGAGGGGCCACTATGGGAGAAGAATAGGAGTAAAGGGAAGCTCCCATGGGCATGGGAAGGGCGTTATTGCAGTCCGAGATATAACGGACTGCACTATGGGCATAGGAAGGGCCAAAACTAAGAGGAAGAGGCTAGAAAAGGGCCTTAACGACCACTTGACACTTGGCATGCTAGAAAAAACAGAGAAAAGAAAAGAAAATGTGGGAGAATAAAACAAAAAGAGAGAGAGGGAGTGAGTGAGTTGGCCGTTAGTAGGGACTGCCACAAGTAGGGACTAGGAGGAAAAAGAAAAGAAAAGAAAAAGGAAGAGAAAAGGAAAGAGAAAAAGGCCTTAACGGTAAAAAACGGCCACTTGGGGAGATTCGTCCGTGACCAGATTCATTCTGGAATATGGCAGTTACAAAGGGCTTAGATTTTCTTTGATTATTGCAGAGAAAATCAAAGAAAAGCAAGGCCCCATGCAACCAAAATAAAACGGATTACATGCATGAGGTGAAACACATCTTTTAGGTGCATCCGAAGCCAAAATCAAGTCCGGATGCACTTGGGAATTGGCCGTTTCTTTTCTTTTTAGTAAAGGGCTAGTTGTAGGGCATTGGGGCTAAGGAATTAACCCCCATTGCAGTCCGAGTTGCAACGGACTGCATGGGGGAGAGAAAACACATGTTCTAAGTGCATCCAGAGCCAATATTGAGCCCTGTAATGACCCGCCCAAAACACAGACTGAGAACACTGCTGATTTATGGGATTTGCCAATGGAATGAATGCCTTGCTGTGATTCCAGCATTCCGTTGTGGTCCCAAGTCTGTGTGTATGTGTCCCTGCTGGTTTGCATGCCTGTCTGAGTGCTTGCTGGTTGGGTATGTGTGTGTGACCCGCAAGGGTACTTGTTGGTTGCAAGGCCCACCGGGCCGGTACTTACCTGTGGTCGTGACTTGGAAGGGTTGCAGGGGGGTAAACACGCCGGTAGCGGGGAGTAGGCCCACGACACTCAGAGCAGCTGGGGAAAAACACTCAAGTAGCAGGTAGGCCGAGCAGAAGAAGACAAAAAGTTGGCATTTTTAGAGGCCCAGTAACGGTAGGTTAGAGGTAGGCCGGTACCAGTCCAAGTAGCTCGCGTCTAGGGCCTGTGCGGACAATAACAGAGCCTGCAATGATGTTTCCCTCCAAAAAGGAGGAGGTACCGGTTGCTGGGAGGCCACTTGGCCTAGGAAGTCACCGCACATGAGGCCGGTAGGCCGCTATATCTTCAGGAAGAGCGGAGAGCTCTTCCTCATTTGCGGTATGCAAGGATTGGCGACATGCTGCTGGAGCGCAGCGCTGGACTGAAGCAGCGCTGCTTGGAGGTGAAGGTTCGCTGGGGCTCAGCCTGGCTATGGCGAGCACCCCAGCTTGAGGAGGAGGAAGAAAGGGCATGGTAGGAGAGTGGTAGGGCACTTACCTGGCTATGGTGGACACCGTCTTCATCACCTTGTTGGGCGCTGCATTAGAAAGGCCCCAGTTGGGGTAGCGCTGCACCAGGGCAGCTCGAGGCAGAGTCAGGCATAGCGGACCAAGTCAAGCAGCGGCATAGCTGCTTTGGGGTGTCTTCTGGACATCACGGCAGCACCATAGCTGCCACCCAGTAGTCCGCCATGGCCTATGCATGAGAGAGGAGGTTGAAGGAGGGAAGACATAGCCATGGTGGACTTGTTGTTGTTGTTGTTGTTGTTGTGAGTTGAGTCGTAGTAAGAGGGAACTTCGGACATTGATTCTGGTTCATCCTTTCATTGTTATTATTATTATTGAGAGAAGGATAAGATTGGTGAAGAGAAGGAGGAAGGAGGAAGGTGGAGAGAGAAAGGGGAATTGTCATTGATCTTGTTGGTGTACTTCTTCTTCTTCTTCTTCTTCTTCTTACCTCTCCTCTGGTCTTTATCTCTTTGCAAGTGCTTTCGTTTCTTTCGCAATTGGGTGGCATTRTCTTTCATTGTGAATTTGCACTCGGGAAATGACCAGGATCGTAACAATTGGTATCGGAGCGGACTTACTTGCTGGCGAGAGGTGTTAGTCACCCTAACCCTAATTCCGGATTAGGTTAGGGCTAACCTGATCTCGGATTAGGGTTGGGAAGTTAGGGTTAAGTGGGGCAGCGAGGTATGGGGATGCTGCCCCCACCTGGTTAGGTCATGTAGGGTCGACATTGGACCCAACCAGGTTGCTTGAGTGAATGTATGGGCTGGCGAGACACAAAGGAGGCTGTTTGGAGTAAGCGAGAGGGAGTAGAGAGTGAGAGGTACTCGCACCTGGAATCTGGACTTCAGGAAGACATTGAATGACTTTTGGGCTTCCCCTCAAGAGGGAGACTTGATCGGAGGCTGCCATATCTGCATCGGATTGCTGCAAGTTGCTACTTTGGTCTTCAGGCATCGACGGGGGATCCGACTTTGGAACAGGGGTGTAGGAAGGCCCTCTTAGTCATGCTAGGACACTTCGTGTAGTGGTAGCTAGAGGTCAGGAGGACTTATATGAGAGGGGAGTGACTCGTAATCCATCTTTGGAGGCCGGGCCTCACAGGTAAGTGTCGTGTGACCTGGGAAAGCCCGTGGGAGGTTGCTTGGTGCTTCATGGCGTGTGCTGGGTTCTCTTCCTCTTCTCTGCGATCTTGGTTGTGTGTGTGAGCTTGTGGATTGCTTTCTCACCTGATCGATGGATGGATGATGTATCTACTCTAAATGACATATCTTTCTACGGTGCATTGTCTTTTCATTTCTGAACGGCTGTACAAGTGAGTTCTTGCTGAAAGTTATTTTTTCCTTTTCAGTACGGTAGAGGCAGTTTGGGACCGACTTGGCACCCCTATCACGTTGGTCCTGGTCCACGGCCTACTTGGGACCCCTCGGGACCCAGTGGGACCAGGCCCAACAGGACAGGACCTTTTGGGCCCAGATCTGTTGCCGCCAGTGCATTTCTTTGTTGTGCTGGAATTGGGGGACATACGGAGCAAGGGCATTCCTTTCAAGGGGATCTCGACTGGCCTTACCGCATTTTAGCACATACTGCCCCGCGTCTGACTCGGCGACCATCTACACCCCTCGAAACCTCCATTGCTGCAGATTAGTCTTCTTCGTCTGATTTACTGTGATGTATGTCCCCTGTCAGGTTAGGCAAGAGGGGATCTCCAGCTGATCTGATCGGGCCCGTTCTATAAATCAGACCTCTCTGCTGTTTCTATTTTTTTTATTTTTTTTTATTTTTTTTTATTCTTCTGCTGCGTGCCACACTCTAAGTCCAAATGATTCGCCGCTCCGGCCAGGAGTTCTACCTTCTTCTCTGAGTGGTTTTCAGTTTGTTTCTTTCATCTGAACTATCTATGTCCAGTATCGAGACGCGTGCGCAGACAGCGAAGAGAGAAGAAAGGGAGAGAGGTGTTCTGTTTGAGAGTGTGAGGAAGGGCAAGAGGAGTGTTCGTCCAAACATAAGGAGAGAGCGGACCCCTCTTGAGAGTTCTACTGACGCCCCTTCCTCCAGCATGGCGGTCATCACATCTGCCCAATGGCAGGCCATGCTGGGCGCAGCATACGAGAGCCAGAAACCATTCTTTCAAAAATTGTATGATGATGCCGTGCAGAGGGAAAAGGAGGCAGCGGCAGCAGCTAGAGCCGTCGATATTGCTGATCAGGTGGCTCTCCTTCGGATCCCGGAAGCCAATGCTGACCGGTTCCAGGAGGAACTAGCTGCTGTTGTAGCAGCCTTGGTCCGACTGCGGACCTTGGAAAACCTTGAGTCTCGTATGACAACACTTGAGCAGCGAAACGAAGAGCTGCAGGCTAAAGTAATTAGCCTTGAACAATCCCAGCTGCCTGCCTCCCGCCCTCCTAACCCTCGATCTGCTATAATCCCAACCTCTCAAGCCAACACAGCCCTCGTGCCAAGGGCAAGCGGAACTGTGGCAAGTGCAGGAACCGGCGCCAGCTCCTCGAGCGGCAGCACCGGCAGTTCTGCGCTGGTCACGGTCCTGAATGCAGGGACTTCAGCCCAAAACGCCACAGTCCTTACTGGCGTTCAGTACAACGGTCCCATGGTGGACAAGCGGGCGGCCACGCTGCCGTCCAAATACGACGGGAAGGCAGACATCACCTCTTGGATTAGTTCCATGCGGTCGTACTTCGAGGTCATGCGGACACCGCAAGAGGACCGACGTATGATCATGGGAACTAATACCGAGCCTGCCGTACGAAATCACATTGAGCTCCAAGCTGTTGTTGTAGGCTATGAGCGTATAGACCTGACTGATTGGTTGAAGGTCACCCCTGTTCACGCCCTTGAGGATCTTCTCCTTGACCGGTACCGAGATAAACATGCTGCGCTCAAGGCTAGGCTGAAGCTTGAGGCCCTCAAGGGCCAAACATGGAGGTCATCCATGCAGGCTTTGGAACAACACTTGACTGGTCTGTTCACCACTCCGGATCTGGGAATGACTGACGTATCTTGTATGGATGTAGTCATGGGAGTGGCCCCTAAAGAATACCTCTCCCTGCTAGCACTCAAAGACCATGCTACCTGGCGAGAGCTCATGAAGGACCTAGT